TTCAATAAATATCCCCAATTTGAATCTCTTTTACCCAAGACGGTATTTGGTGATTGATCTCTCCCAGTCCTTATCTCAGCCCATGAACCCTTCCTTAGTTATATTTTCTCTCCCCTGTCCAGATGCAGAGGGAAGTAATAGAGGGGCTTTGGTGGGTGCCTAGTGTCTAGCCAGAATCAACCCACTACACACTTGAGAAATTACAATTTTTATTTGGAAACATCTGGGGAGACTAGAAAAATCTGGCTCCAAGAACCTTAAGAGACATGGGACTGGGATGCTGGAGTTCTGGCATCACTTGCCAGTTAGATTCAGTAGGACAACCAATGCTAAAAGCTCTTTGGTGTAATGAAGACAAGGCTGCTGCCAGGGCAGTTCCACAAGAGGACTGAAGCACTCTTTGGTCCATGTTTGCTGACTTTTGATGTAATCTCCAATTTATTCCTCTTTATTCCACTGGCTTTCCAGAAAAGAGCTGGAAAATAAAAAAAACCCACGTCTGGACATGTCATTGTTAAAGACCATCTTGCTGTTTGTTGTCTGACATGTTTCCATAGGTTTAAGTATCAAGCGGACACAGAGACTCCACATAGGTTTAAATTTTCTTCTCCCTTCATTTGTATTGCACAAGTAGGTCATTGCTTTACTCCAACTATGATAGCTCTGTCTAGTCTTTAAATAACTCAAAGAGAACTATATGGGCTCTGCTGTTGTTGCTTATGGTTTCTATCCATGCATCTCCTCCTTGTAACACAATTTGCTGTTCAAGAAAGAAAAACCCTTTTGGTTTTGCTGGGGCTTTGAGGTTTTTTCAGCAGAAAGTGATTACCAATGAGTTTTCTTAACTTTCTTTGTGTCCATTCAGCCAACAATCAATGAAGTTAACTTGAAATTGTCATACCTCATACTGCCTGATGGCTCTCATCATCCCTACGCACATCAAATCACTTCTGCTCTCACTGGGGCCACTTTCTCTGATTGCTTTCGACCTCAGCTTTTCTTTCAGTCCAGGACTGCTTGTCCTCCTCCAGCTATATCCTTACAGTTAATGAGTCTTCTCATTCATTCAGTCTGTCTCCTTGAAAATATTTTTAGACTGTGACCATCTCCCTTGAGCTGGCTATTTCTTAAGATAAATGCTATTTCACGTCATCGTTTCTCCTATGTTCCCTGTGCCTTATTACTTTTATGTTTTAACTCTATATCCTCTGAGGATATCTAATGAAGACCTTCAGGCCTTCAGGGCTGCCCAGTAGGGCAGTATGCAGAGGAACACCATCCACTACTTACTTTTTATGAGATTCTTACTGTACATAAGAACACATTTCTGGTTTACTTCAGAGTTGCATCCCCTCATTTCCTCTATACTGCCATTGCAAAGGCTTCTGAGACCTTAGAGGTGACACCATTTTTTCAGATAGTCACACTTAAAATAGACAAACCACTAAGCAAATATCTGTGGTCTCTGTGCAAGGCATTTAGCAAGAGGGAGCTTTTACTTCAGCCACTAGCATTATCAGAGAAGAAATCTGGTGGTCATCTGATTTTCCAAAGCCAGAGAAGCCTAAGTGCTTTATTTTTAAAACCTTTGCAAATATTTAGACATTGTCACAAGAAATCATGTTCCAAAATATATTTGCTATTGCAGCTGCTATGTAATGAAATGCAAATAGTAAGTAATGACTCTTTAAGTGCAGAAGATGAAAAGCTTTTATTATTTATCCTTAGAAAACTTTAGAGCCAGTGAACAGATTTAGAATTTGCGACATTGCCATTGAGCTCAGCCTTCATTTAATAAATCATAGCTAAGAGCAAAGGTTCTATTCACAGTTGTTGAGCCCTGTTACATTTTCTTGCCAAGGATTTCTGTAGGTATAGAAAGGTATGACAAGGAAGGGATGTCTGGGCAGCTGACTAATTAAAAAAAAACACTCTTAATTGTTCCTGCGGAGCCACTACCCCAAACAGGGCAGTATGCACACTTTGGAATAAGCAGAGAAATAAGCCAATATACAGGGCTGGTCTAATGTTACATTTTTATAGCTCTTTCCATACCAGAAGATATTAACTGTAAAGGCTGTGGCCATCTGAAAGTCCCACCACGACTGCTGAAATCCAGCGGTTTGCTGCAAATGAACCATTTAGCTGCATAAAATGGTGATGCAGCAATTTCCAGCCAGTAACACAGGAGTCTGACAGGAAGAATAGCTGTGCATGACTGTGCTGCAGTGACTCAAACTGGGATCTGTCTGTACTTCTGCAAGGACTGAAATTTTGTGGTAAGGGCAGACAGCTGTAACCCTGACACAGGCCAGGTATGATCCAGCCCTGGTGTGAAGAGGCAGCAGGCTTCATGGGCAACTGATGTTGTAGTGGATGAATTCTGTCCTTGCAGAGTGGCCCACTGAAACTCTGAGCTGTTTTGCCCTTCTCAGTGTGCAGCCCTAAGGAGCTCTAAAGCCTGAGGCACTGTGGCAGCAGGTGCCAAGTGCCATAAGCTGCCCAAGACTGCAGTGTCCCTCAAAAGCCAAAAGCAGAGGGCGAAGATGTCAAACCATAATTTCTGCTGGTGGGAGGTGGCTTCTAGCTGAAATGTTGAAAGCCTATTGTCTTTAAGTCTACAAAAGTGGAGAAGTTGGATCAGCGAGTCTGTGGAACAAGAATAATCCTTCCAAGACAAAGCGTATGGCATGAGGCTCTGGCTCTGGTTCCAGTGTCTAGGTGACTGTCTGCTCACCTTGACACCATTTGCCAGGAAGGAAAAATTTATGTCAAGATGCTGTTTGTGGGTGATGATAATAGCTTAATTTTCCCATAGCTTTGAGTTGACAAGGCATGAGTTTGGTAGTGTAATTTATAAATAGAAATTAGAATGGGTCTGCAAATTGGTTATTAGATCATTTCTAGATTGGTCATTACATTAAAGTAGGGAGGATGAAAGGACTTGTCAAAAATCACATGACGAATTACTGGCAAAGCCAATAAACAAATCCTAATTTCTTCCTTTGACACATCCATGTGTATGCTGTGACAAATGTATAGAGACAGCTAATGACAGCTAACTGTCAAAAAGCACAATACAGCTCAGGTAAAAAATCAGAATACCTTTTATTGTTCAGTGTTAGAGAAAATACATCATATTAGCCATGGAAACAATTGTGTGTTCATGCGAACACACACAGTCTGGAAGGATGCATATCCTCCATGTTTTAGTTATCCAGCTAAGGGTTTTTCCAGTACATTTTCAAGGTTACTCTGCTCATCACAACAGACTTTGTTTGTTATTGGTTCAAACGTGTATTCGAGTGTAAAGTGGTCAAAGATGGTTACAAAGCCTGTAGGAGTGAGTGACTCCATTCTGGCTTGTGAGAAACTCAAGGATAAAAGCAAGGGGCATTCCACTATCGGGAATGCACCAAGAGCCTTTCTGAGGAAGAAATAACATTTTTCATGGCTTGTCAGCGTACTCCCAGCCTATTAAAGAGAAGCAATGGATTCCTACCCAGCCCACATAAGCTGATGCAGTTTGCCAAAACAGAGGCTTTTCTCTTGCAGCTGCCGGGGAATCCAGTGCTACGATCCTGGAAGAGATGTTACGGTATCCTTTGTTAAGACATCTGTAAGCACAGGATCTCAGCACTGATCTAATGGGCTGCTGCTGCAGCTAAAAAACAACGAACACATGAAGTTGATTAATCCCTGTAGTAATTCTATTAACATCCTTAATGGAGATATAACACGGATGATTTTACCCCTCTGCAGCAATGCGAGAGGGAATTGCCCTGGAGAGCTGTAACTAAAGTGTGGCAGGGATGTCTGAGAAAAGCATTTTTCTATTTGTTTAAGTGCAAAATGAAGTGCCCTGATGGGCTGGAAAACCTCCCTGTCTTCTGGAATTTTGAACTCTTCACAGCCTTAATGGTGCAGGTGTTCCCTGTGAGAGAGTGATGCATCAGGGCACAGATACAGCAGCAACGCTCTTGGCACCCTCCCAACTGCTCGCTGTGTGGCCACAGTTCCTTCTCTCTCTCTCACAGGTATCCATAGCCTGTCTCATCACACAGCTTCTCAAACACATCATTTTCATTCACCTTTGTGGTTTCCTCTCCTTGTCCCTCCATCTGACCATGATTTGTCTGCTTGCTGCTCCCTGTCAGAAGGGCAGCTTTGCCTGGACTGTCACTGGACAAAAGATTGCTAAAAATAAGTAGCAGAGCTACAGGCTTGAACTGTCATTGGAACAGATCACGAACAGAAATGAGAAATTCTCAATCTCTTTTAGTTTTCTTCCTGAATTTCTAACCTGTGGAGAGAAGGTTTATCTGATGCATTAACCATGTTCATAACCTGTTCCTAGGACAGCTTGATTGCATTGCAGTTCTGTCATTAAGGTCTTGTCAGTATTGTGAATCAAGAATCATATCTTGAGATGGAAGGGACCCACAAGGATCATTGAAATCCAACCCTTTGCCCTGAATAGGACAATCCCAAGAATGACACCATGTACCTGAGGTCATTGTCCAAACAATCCTGGAATTATGCTCTCATGTGAAGTTACCTCATGTATATAAGTGCCAAAGAGCCACTCCACAAAACCCTCCCAAAGACTAGACACAGTCTTTTTGCAGTCTTCCACAACAGCCCAGGCTCCTGATGCAGTTTTTAAAGACTATATAGGGTGACTAAAAGGGCTGGGGACTGAGGGATTCAGACAGGAAGCCACAGGAGGGTCTGACTAAGTTTTCTGCTAGTTCAAAGACTGTTGCCACCTATGCAGGTGCAGTGATGGAGTGCTACTAAGCTGGAGTATCTCATCTACATGGTTTGTGATTTCCATGTAAATATGCTCAATTTATTCTGTTTGATAGCCCATCCTTTCCTCCCACAGCAGCTGCAATCCCAAAAGATGGAGTAGCCCAGCTCTGTAGTGATCCAGGAGACAGTGGGAGAGGACAGGGAAGGTGTTGTGCGCGTGGGATGCACGCACATGCTTGGGGATTTTATTTCTCTTTCTGCCTATGGTAGCTACTCTCCACATTCTGCACAGGGATGAAAAGTCCAAGCAGCCATTTCTTGCCAAAGATTTCTTGCAGGTTCTCCCTCCAGGGCCGGGCTCTTACCACCATTCCTTTCCGCACCTGGTACCGAGTCTGCCCGCGCAGGATCAGCAGCATCTGGTGGCAGCAGAAGCCGGCGCAGGCCAGTCCGATCCCAAGCCAGAGGTAGAGCATGAGGATGACAAACATCTCAGAGCTAAGGAGAGCTCCTGAAAACCAGGAGGGAGGGAGGACAATAAAAGAAAGAGCTTAGACACAGCCCACATGCAATGTAACACAGCCCCAGGAACCAACAAACCAGCTGCTTTCTCTGGCCACAAGTGCGGAGGTACAGACAAGACAGGCTGGTTGCTCTGACTGAATTAAATTATTTCCTTCATAGTGTCTGATGAATGGACCTGCTGCAGAAATACTAAAATGATAGTGGTCTCTTGTACACTACTCCTTTTGCTGTTTAAGTGAGGATCTAGATTACAGGGACAAATTCAACCAGAAGTAAAGCATATCTGCTTCAGCACTATTCCAAACAATGATTAATTTATTTAAGGATTTACCTGCTCATCAGAGGGAATCTAAGATTTCCAGGATTTTGAAAAGACAAGTGGACCCTACAGCATATAAATCCTTCTAAGAAGCCTTACTCTTTGTATTAACACAAGGCAGAAATATTTCGGATTTCTCTTTTTCTCCATCTCTACTATATGAGTATGTGTGCATATATTTATGTAAATGTTAAAAAAGAAAAATAAATCAATAATGACTTTCCTACCTTTGTAGCAAGGCAGTTTTCAAATGAATGCAAGAAAGAAACAGAAACCTTTCTAAAATACAATCTAAATTCCTTTTATTAGCTGCTGCTAGAATACTCAAAATACTTTGAAGATCTGAAGCTCCTAATTCAACTGGGGGTATTTTAGTATATATTGGTGATAAATATATTTGAATAAAAATATCCTGTAGGCCCTTTCCTCTACAATGATTTTAGAACTCCTTCTTGAAAATATTAGTATAACAGTAGGTGTCACTGAGTGACCTTTCAGTGTGTAAGCAGAGCTAAACCCATTAATATAACATTTTCTGTGTGCCCATATGATGTTTATGCACATGTTTTTTGCATATTGGTGTATTATTAAACACCCATATTTACATGCAGGCATATTTACACAAAGGAAATGAAATGTGTGTCAATACTGGTATAAATAGCTGATATCTTTTCACTGGTTCCTATAAGGTTTAGAAATAACAATGCTCTCACATGCTCTGTTCCTCTGGAAGACCATGGGCCCTACAAGACCAGCTGTGTTAAAGCAGGTATTGCACGGACAATAGAGGTGAGCTGCCTAAAAGAGGTACATGGATGCTTCAGGTTTTAAGTCCAACAGAAGGGTCACTGGATGTGCATCTCTTGCTTCCCTTATGCAGAAGGCTGGATAAGGTGGTATCACCTGGTTTTGCAATCTGTGAATCCCGTCCTTTCCACCTGGCAGTGCTATAAGTGAGAGATTGGGGCAGGCTCCTCTGAGGATAATTTGTAAGGACACTTACTACAGCCTCAAGATTTAAAGACTGTCTTCACTTGAAAAAGGTACAGGAATCATTCTGTTTTCTTCCTAAATGTAATGTCATCTTTCCCTTCTTATTAGATCCCATTCAGCTCAGTGGACTCCGTATGCAACACAGCAAGAGAAGAACAAGCCTCTTAGGATAATGACAAATCCTCATACCAATTCTGTCAGAATAACTTAATCTATCAGGTAAGAAGCCCAGAGCCAAATACTGGATTCTCTGTTCATCTTTTACTGGACTTGAGTGTGGCAGACATTTGTTTTTTTCCTACAACTGATACTGAGATGGGATATGGGGAGAGACCTTTTCTTTAGACCCTTTGCAAGGCACCTGTAGGCTTTATTTATCTGACTTACTGAAATTCATCATTCAGGAAGTAATTATCCTTGCTTCCCCTTGAAAATATTAAGCATCTCTGAGCTATCCTTTGCAGATACATGATTTTTTTAACCTTTTCTTCAGGCTACCTACATTGTGTAGGTAAGCATTTTCTATAATTTACTTTGTGTAGTTCAATATGATGTGTTTACAATAGTGCTCTCCATTTGTCCCTCATCCCCACAGTCTCTTTTAGTCTTGGATTTTTTTTCTCTAAGTGACCCGGTGTGATCTCAAAGTTAGATTGCCATATATTATCCATGCCAGAAAAGCTGTATTGTAGGCTGTAGTTATCGACTTTGGGTCAGATTCTGAAATCCATGCCTGAGTACAGTCTGGGCAGAATGAGCCAGCTGAAAACTTTCCCAGCACGAAAGCAGGGAACACTTAGTTGACATAAAACCAGTAGATTAACCCTTCATCCTCCTTTACTACTTCTGCAGTACAGCAGGCATGATGGAGAAGAAGAAAAATAAAGTTTTTTCCCTGCTATCGCAGTCCCCTGTTTTTTAAGTCCAACTTAAGTAACAGTTACACTAGCTGAAAAATACTGTGTGAGCAACCCTTTCAGGTAACCATTCAAGACTGTGTTTTTTCTTTCCTGAAACGGAGGTTGAATGAGCTGGTAGAAACCCAGTAGGTCCTTCCTCCCAAGTGATCAAGACACCACATGCCTGTATCTTGCTGTGTGAGGCAGCAGTTCTCTTCTCAGCAGAACTAGAGGTTTGGTGGGAGCTGCTGGAAGCTGCTGCCTCTCAAGGGTGTTCTGGCTCTTAGCTCTGCACCCAGGCCCATTGTGTCCCACTCAAACACTGTCCACATGTTGTATTGGCATCACAGTTGCTGCCACCAGAGCTGGGGCTCTTCAGTGTCTCTGCAAATATATGCCAGGACCCACCACTGTGCAGATGAGCCCTCAGAGTCAGAGAGAACTAATTCCTTGATAATCTCCTCCCATATCCCTGCTCCCCCTCCCAGACTGCTGTGCTGAGCAGAGCTTAGGCACAGGGGAAAATCATTCCCAGTGTTTTTAATGCTAGTAAAGCTCATGCAATATTATTTACAAAAATTCTTCTAGTTGGAAAAAATGATTCCATAAAAATGTCATGGCAGGATTTCATGTTTATTGTCTTTCAGTGGTTACCATGAAAAATCTGCAAATTTGCCAAGCAGAGAGATATTTGTTTGTTTTCAGATGGCAGCCCAGCCTGGACTCTGAAAAGCAAGCTAGGGCCTCCCTGGCTCCTGTATTCCCAGCAGTGGAGTCTTCACACTCAGATCTTAATCAACAATTCTGGTGACAATGCACAAGCCAAAACATACTCCCTTCTTACTGAGCTCAGCTGAACCTGCAAAGCTAAAATATATGGGGTACCTATTTTAGTCTAGTAAAAGCTGATGTAAGTGTATGAGGCAGGAGCTCATAGAAGGGAGATGGCAATTTTCTGCAGTCGCTCTCAGGGCAGAGTAGCAGTCTAGGCTGTCTGCATAATCCCTTCTCTGAGGCCAGGATCTGTCTACTCTTGGGTTTGGACAGAGAAAGGGTTGAGGCTGGAGAGGTTAAGGGTGTGTTGAAAGGTGAAGAGGCAAGGCTTCTTGCTCTGCAAGAGCAGAGGATGAGTTATGGGAATAAAATCAGGAGAGAGAGGGAGAAGGGTTGCGAAGATTTACAGAAAGGCGGGGATAGAGGGGAAAGGGGAAGAAGTAATAAGAAGGGTAAGGAATGGAAGCAAGGAGAAGGACGTATTTGTTTTTGGTGTGGAGCTTTTGCAAAGAGCAGCACAGAGAATTTCCCATGGTTCTCTGTGGACTTGTGTCCCAGACTGGGGTCACAAGACAGGTACCTAATCATGTCACATTAACTCTTCTCTCAGTTTCTGTTGCCTGAACCCCAATTCTCCTGTGTTGGAAGGATGAAAAGATCTCAGTAAGTTTGCACTGCCAGGAGGCAGGAGGTGGGTGACAGTGAAGGGAGTGAGTGGACCTGGATAAAATATACCTGCTGGGATATGGGGAATCTGCAGATTTGTAGGGTGCAAAGGCCTACAGGACCACCCCCACCTCTACCTGTAGGACAGGCAAAAGATCCCTCATACCTGCAGTGAAATCCATCTCCTCTGTCTAACTACAACACGTCCTGCACAACAGATAGCTCTATTCTATCACCACCAAGTCGGTTATGGGGCATTTTCCAGAGCCTAATGCATTGGGAATGTAGCTATGGATGTAACCTGGAGTGGGTCCCAGCTTCTATTTCAGGTGAAGCGAAGTCTTTTGGAAAGGCTGGCTGTAGCCTCCAAAGAAGGCCAATTGCCCCTCTAGCCCATTTCCATACCACACCTCTACAGAGATGACTATCCAAGGATGATCAGGTCCCCCCATCCCAGGAGCCCTGGAGGAGGAACACGCCCCTCATCTCTGAGCAAGGAGTCCTTACCTGAGAAGAACTGGCTGATGGAGTGAGGCAGAAGAGTGAGGAAGGCCAGTGGGTCCGCAAAGGACATGGAAAGTGTAGCAGAAATGTAAGCCATGCCTGCCACTAGGGAGTCAAGGCAAGCCAGGGAGGTGTAGAGGCAGAACATGATGAAGTTTCGCATGTTCCTGCTCCCGATGCAGTTCCCTGTGAAGAAACAGTGGTGGTCATGCCTCTGGGTGATTCTGGCACACAGTCTACAGAAGTGAGTGCCGGGCAAGGCTGAGCCAGGGGACCTGCTTCCATCCAGCCAGTCTGCCACTTCAGCTCCTTTGCCCAAGTTTAAGTCCTTGCCCAAGTCCTCGGGGGAGTTCTGGATCACAAGGACGTAGTTTCCCAGGGCATTAGCTGAGAGGAAGAGGAAGAGGGCACCATGCAGCAGAACAGGCGAGAAAAGTGAGGTGGTGGAAGGGTCTCTGAACATGCTGGGGATGAAGACAAAGATCTGGAGGACGAAGGTCACTAGGGAGATGCACAAGAAGTAGGCTGGAGCGACAACATTGAGCAACCTGAGAACTAGCATTGCGGATTACGTTCCTGCGGGGGAAAGCAAGGAGAGAAGGAACATCACCGCTCCGGCTGCACACTTCATCCTTCCATTTCCTGCCGGGTCCCGGCCCCGCTGCCTTCGGGAAATGCCCTCCGGGAGCCGCTCTCCCTCGCCGCCGCCCCACGGCCCCTGCCGGGCCGAGGCACAGGGACAGCCCGCGGGCAGCGACCGCTCCCCGGTTCCCGGAGGAGACACCCCGGCCCCGGCGCCAGCCTCCGGGGAACTTGCAGCAGCGGTGCCCCGGAGGGGCTGCAGCGGCTGGAAGGGGAGAGGCGGCTCCCGCGGTGTGCTGGCGATGCGAGCACTGCTCTGTTCGCCTAGCAGTCTCTCTGCCAGGCAGGGTCAGTTTTGGTATTGCATGAGAGGAAAAAAGGTGGTGCTGGAGGAGGGGGGAGTGAATTGGAAAGGAGGGGTGGGAGGAGGAGAAGGGGAGGGGGGAGAGGTTGCTCTAATCCACTGCAATACGGATCAAATCCAGTGCTCTAATTTATCCCTTAAAGCCACGGATCTACAGATTACCTCTATGATAGCTGCCCTGTTCTGCACGAAATTAGAAAATATACAAAACAGCTGGTCAAGTGCTGTCCGGATGCAACCTGCGGCGCTCGGCTACCGAGCCGGAGCAGAGCCGCAGCTGCAGCAGCAGCAGCTGTGGCCGGGCACGGCGCATCCCCGCCGGAGAGGCGGTCACCCCCGGCCCCGAGGCTCAGCCTGCATCGTCGGGGCACAGGATGGCCCGAGGGGCCACACGCGGCGGGCAGCGAGCTGGGTGGCCGTGTGGGTGCCCCGGCACGCCGAGCACACCCGCGCCGGCAGCCTGAAGGAGTCGCCGGCGCCGGTGTGTGTGGAGCCCCGGCGGCCCCGGAGCCGCCCCGGCCCCGCGGCGCTGCGGGCTGCGCGCTGCCACCTTGCAGTCCCCTTGTCCCCGGGCGCGGCGGGAGCCGCCCGGTACCGGCGTGTCTGGCGCCGGCGGAGCCGCTACTACAGCCGGCCGTGCAGAGACCCCCACGGTAGCCGAGCCGGAGCGCAGCCCGGAGTCTGCCCTGCTCTTCCTCTCCCTTCCTGCTCTTTTCCTGTCCCTCTTTTCTCTGCCCCTGCCCTGTGTCTATCTCTCTCCGTCCAACGGCTCGTGTCTCTCCCTGTTCCTGTCCTTGTCCCTGTGCTTTTCAACCCCAGACTTCTCCTCCTCGCTCCCTCTCCATATGTCCCTCCCGCGTCCTGTTCTTGTCCGGTCGTCTCCCTTCCCGACCCCCTGCACACCCGGCCCGTCTCCGCCGTAGCTGTCCCTTCAGCACCAGCCGCACCTGCAGCAGCTCTGTCCACCTCCCACCGACCCGGTCCAGGAGAAGAGAAAGGTGTTCTTGGGCCTCTGAGGTCCTGACAGCTCCCACGTGGAGAGGAGAAAGGTGGGAAGAGGCGTTCTGCCCCTCCAGCGCGCAGAACACCATTCCTTCCTACAGTGTGGGTGAGAGAGGCAAGGTGAGTTTTCTGTGTGTCCCCGCGCCTCCCCAAAGCTGCCCCTGTTGGAACCAGCTTTGGAGGCAAGGGGAAGTGTGGGGGGAGTCGTTGCAGGTTCAAAGCCTCCCTTAACACAAGCAGGAAAGGCTTTGATCTGGGCAGGTGGTGCCTGGGCAGTAGCCTGGTGCTGGTAGAAGTTTTGCAGACACGTGTTTGCTCTCTGACAGCTACACACCCTCACGCCCCTCTGCCCACCCACACTCTTCTTGTACTGTCTGCACAGGCTCTGTGCATGGCCTCTCCTTCTCCTACACACCTACGTGCTGCACCCTCCCAGCTCTCATGAATAGCATCCCTGTCTCCCTCCACAGATGAGCCACCCGTAACAGGAGAAGGGGACAGAAGAGGGTATTGGGCTGCAGCTGTGTCCCTGGAGACAGTCAGACTCTGCACTGGTGAAAAGTCAAAGAAACATGCATTTTACATAATCTTAGGTCCTAGGTTTACTGGTCAGTCCCTCAGCACAGACTCTGCAACTCCACAAGAGACTCTCCCTTTGCCTGAAGGTGCAGCGCAAAATGAAAGTGTGTTTCATGTCTCAGTTTCTAGGGAGAGAAGACTGGAGGAGAGAGCGGCTGCGCTTGTCTCCTGCACGTGCACTGGCACGGAACGTGATGACAGCAACCAAGTATTCAAGGGCTCTTTATTAGAAATAACTTTTCTCCCAGGTATTTAATGGTTCAACATTTCTGAGAAGAGCAGTGGCAATAACACAAGCAAGTGCAAACCAAGCCTGTAGGCACTGGATCTGCAGTGACGAACAGCTAAGAGACACCTCTGGCAGAACTGAAGGGGAAGCTGCTCAGAGCGGATCTAGTTCTCACTCCCACCTCCCTCATTCTCCTGTCACGACTACTGAGAATAAAATTCCTCCAATATTCCCTCAACTCATCAATTTAAAGTAGACTGAGCCTTGCAATAGAGATACATGACCCAGTCTAGGTTTTATCTTTAGATAATCAGACAGTGTTTTCTCCATATTTTAACAGCTTACATCAAAATAATAAAAAAAAAAAAGAAAATTACAGAGAAATCTTTTCATGTCATGAAAGACTCTCGACTGAGGGGACTGCATCTCATGAAAGATATTAAGCCTGCCTGCATAGGGAACATCAAAGCTGTAGCCAAACTGGGGGGAGGAAGGGGAAGGGAAGGGAAGGGAAGGGAAGGGAAGGGAAGGGAAGGGAAGGGAAGGGAAGGGAAGGGAAGGGAAGGGAAGGGGAAATCTGGTTTCCACTGGAATGGAAGATTGGTGAGGCAGATTATTCCCCACATGCTCATTAAAGTGCTCCTGCACAATGATGCTTATGATTTGTCACTGTCAAAATAGTGGATTCATATTTAACAATACAGAAAAATATCCTCTTTCAGTGCTGTTGTGTTGATATTATGAGCTGTTTGCAGGATGGGGGAGAAGTTGACTGGGAATGAATTTGCCTATGTATATGCATGTGTATATAAGAGAAAGATGGGTAAATAAGGAGATTAGCACAGGAAGTAAGCAAAAAATGGGAACAGTAGTTAATTTGGAGCAAGCATTAAAAAGTAACAACATGTACTGCATGAATTGGGTTTTCTCCTGCTGTAAAATCAACATCATGAGACAACTTGGGTGTGTGACACTCAGAAATATTTTCTCCCTTTTTCTTCTCTGAGTCTGGTTTTGACCCAGGAGATGGAGTATTTCCCCATTCTGCTTTTCAACCATAAGTAAAATCACTTCTCTCATGTGTCAAGATTTTCTTGTCTTTTGAGTATGACAAGGATTATGTTATCTGCCTTTGTCTGGAAGAACTTGGCAGTTGGGCATAAGAAACACAAGTGAGAGGAGTTTATTGCTCTCATTACCTACTATGAAGATGTTCTCCAGAAATTAGCGCAGCATACCACAGCCAGTCCCTCTCTCACCCCAGCCTTGATGATTCTGAGTGTCAGCATTCTACTCTTCCCTGCTGGCCAGTTGTGTGCAGGGACTTTCCTTAGTATGCACTCTTTCCCAATATGTCCCTTTAGCAAGCAGGGTAGGAAACCACTGACAGAATCTATCAGTTGTCAGCCAGCTGGTGATTCCATCCTCCCATTCAATCATCTGGGCTACATTTGATAATGACTGGCAGATGACAGTTTTCGTATCTTCATCCCCAGATCTTCTAATTCTTTGTGCTAAGAGATTTCAAACATAATAAAATACTGTTCCAGTTGATGCTATGCTCTGATACAGCCTGGCCAACGTCTTTGAAGGTTTCACTTTAAATTGCATCCCAAATTATGTATATTTTCATCCTTCTCAAAATGTGCATTGCCTTAGCCCACACCATTTGTTTATTGTTTGAGATACAGTCTGATTGTGATTTTTCTCTGGAATGAGTAATTTAACCTCTGTTATTTGTTGTGACATTTTTAAAGAAATGAATTCTCTCCGTTGTAAACCAGGTGCTGCTTGATTTAAATTGTCACTTAACTACAAGTTTTATGAAGTGGTTTCTGGTTTGGTTTGATTTTTCTTTTTCTGGGTAGTTAGCCTTCAAAATTTGAGCACCCACAATGTCTGGAGAGGTCTCCTGTTTGATTAAGTAAAACTGAATAGCCAAGAAAAGCAACGGGGCAGCATAATGTCTTCAGTTTAGCAACAAAATAAATATAGCATGGCTGAGCTACATGCCTTTATGCTGACCAGCTTCAAATCTGTCTAGGTGGAGGCATGAATACTGAAAGCAAAAGGGTGCTCAGCCTTTCCTCATACAGTTCTAGGTTATACTACACAGGTTGTCAGGATCTGATCTTCCATAAACACAAATCCAATGCTAACATTCTACTTCTAGTAAGAAATGGCCTTCAGAGGCCAACTCAACCATCTTTCCCAATTTTCCATACCCTTGTTTCAAGTTTACCTGTCCTTTGCAGACAAAAGTCTGATAAAGTCCTGCAGAACTCAGGTGATGGAGATTCTCCGCCACCTCCAGGCATTCCATTCAGCTACTTCTTATTCATTCAGAATTTCTTCTTATTCATTTTACACATAATGTGGCGCTCCCTTACAGCAGTCTAAGGTCTTAGTCCATATACCAATGGATTCGGAGAAAGATAAATCCTTTCCTCACTGCAGTCTCTTACATACTTGAAAGTGGCTATCATGTCTTTCCTAGATGAAGCCATCCAAGTGCTTAAATACTCTTTAATTGTGCCTCTTGGATTGTGTTCGAAAACCTCTGAAAGAAAGAGCAAGGGTCCTGGCATATTGTTCCTGTTGTACAAGCACCTGAGAGGGACATCCAGCACTGAGGCCAGGCAGACCAACAGTATGGTTTTAGACAGCTGGGTTTTAAGCTGTGTAGATTGCCCATTGTGCTTCTTCAGTTGTGCTGAGGAGTTTGATGAGGAGGACATTTATTAACAAAGGAAGAGATGGTAACACATTTCCAAGGAGTTGCGATATCACATTGTTCATGATGCTC